TTTTTTGCACTCGTTACGAAATATACTATTTCGTCACTAGGCCCGATAAACCGCGATTTTAACCTCGCTTCGCTCTGTTTAATCGCGGCTTTCGGGCCCAGTGACAAAAAATATTGTTCACCACACGGCCGTGGGAACTTTTCTACCTCGTACGATTACCGAACTCGCCTTCGGCTCATCCTGTAACTTCATATTCGCCACAAAAGTTCCTCACGGCCCAGTGTCGAAATGTACTATTTGCTTGCTAGGTGCACATACTATTTTTCGTGAGAAGGCCCGGTAAACCGCGATTCTAATGTGGCTTTGTAGGCCGAACCGAAGGCGAGGCCTATAATCACATTCGTCGGAAAATACTTTGTGGACCTTGTGATGAAAAGTATATTTCATCACGCTGTGACGAAAAGTGAACTTTTCGGCACGCTCCGCGTGCCTAAAAGTCCAATTTCCGCCACATTGTGATGAAAAATATTGTTCGTAACTCGTGAAAAAATGTTTTTTGCACTCGTTACGAAATATACTATTTCGTAACGAGTGCAAAAAACATTTTTTCACGAGTTACGAACAATATTTTTCATCGCATTGTGGCGGAAATTGGACTTTTAGGCACGCGAAGCGTGCCGAAAAGTTCACTTTTCGTCACAACGTGATGAAAATAACTATTTCATCACAAGGCCCACAAAGTATTTTATGCCACTCATGCCTGAAACCGGCTGGATTACACACTCGACGCTTCGCGTCTCGTGTCTAATTCAGCCGGTTTCAGGCTTCGTGACATAAAATTTTGTTCAGTACTTGTTGGGAAATTTCGTCCTTAACGTGTGTGGTTACATCACTCGCCTTCGGCTCATGCTGTAAACCCCACACACGTTAAAGACGAAATTGCCCCACACGTGCTGAAATATACTATTCTGACGAATGTGGGTTTGTAGGCCGAGCCAAAGGCGAAGCCTATAATCACATTCGTTAGAAAATACTTTTGGACCGTGTGATGAATGCAATTTTTCGTCAGAAGGCCCGTAAACCGAGCGAAGCGAGGTTAGAATCGCGGTTTACCGGGCCTTCTCACGAAAAAGGTTCTACCACTTTCACGGTTCGAAGTTGAGTTCAAATCGCACTAGAAGCTCTATAAGAAACAACAAATACAAAAGGCCTTCATTTTCTGGTGGTCCGAACTACGCTGAGGAATTTCCAGTTTTATTACTCGTTCCCTATTTACGGGAGGTTCTAACGTACTTTCTAAAAGTCTGTATCTTCCTAAATTTTAACTAGTCAGAACATTTCGACTAGCTTGAATAAAAATGATTAAAGTTATTTAACAAAAAATTTGAATCGTAGTGGCTAAATTTAGTGAGAAATATGGTGGTCATAGGGACCCTAATTCGCAACCATCAGGGGTCTGTGCGACAAGAAACGACCGGTAGTTCGTAGTTACCGGTTGGGAGGCCCACTCGGTGATCATCGGCTGGGTGCCCCCAGGTGGAGAACCCCTGGTTTATCGCAGGGTCGACTGAATAATCCCTCTTCACTAGTTGTCTAAAATGTCCGGGAAATCTTAATTTCAATCATCCCTTCGAGTCCCACCCCATCATTTTCCCTTCCCCCTCAAGCTCCCTAATTGCCTCAATTAAAAGCTCATTTTCTCATGAAAAAATAATAATAATACACATTACAATCAGATAAAAATGCGATAGCTACTTGATTCAATAGATTAATTCAATTAAAATAATTGATTGAAGGGGAGGATTTTTGTTTAATCACTGAAATGATGGAAATTGGTGAAATGAAAAGAGACAAGTTGGAAGAATTTCATGGGAGAGATGGGGAACTCCAGAGGAAGATTCAACGAGAGATTTTGAAGATAAGTGGGGGCGCAGAGGCAGGCGACAGCGGCCCTGGTTTACTGGAAATCGTCAGTGGTCCGGGGCCATTAAACGCGTTTTATGTGTCTTGCAATTTGATCCTGCATCGCTCGGTGCAACGATCAGAGAGTAATTTACGCGAATTCCTGGGCATCGTGCGGTCCTCTCTGCAGGTGGGCCATACACGCATTTTACCGTGAGTGCTGCGACAAGAACAGGGGTACAGACGAGAAAATTTTCACAATACTTCTGGGTGATACGGCGATCGGTGGAGGCTGCGATCCCGATCCCGATCGATACGGGGTTAGAACGTTTTGCGACGCACGATCTATTGCGGGGGTAATCGATACTGATATTGGTGGGATTGCGAAGTGGTGGGGTTTTTCGGGTTTTCGGCGGGGGGCTGTGAGGGGGAAGGAATTACGGAGAGGCCATTGGTCTTTGGGTGAGTAGAGATGAGGGTATTTAATTAGAATGTTTTGGAGAATTTGTGGAGGAGTTCGGGATTATTGGGAAAATTCCTCTGCTGTCATTTTGAGGGATCGGAGAACGGTGAGAGGATCTTTCGGGGGTCCATTGATTGGGTGGATACAGAGTGATTATAATTTCTTTGTAATTGAAATTGTTTAAAACTGTTGTCTTGAATATTTGGGGATTCAAAACGAGAGTGGGGAGCGAAGTTTTGACATTTTGGTGATTCAATTGTGGAATATTTTGTTCGCTTGTGGAAATGATTGAGACAATTTTTTGGTGGTTATTCTAAGAAGGTGAAGGGTAACAGAAGATCTGGATTTGATAAGTGAGAAGAATTGATGGTTAATATTCGAAAATCGAAATGTTGGTTTTGAAGAATTGGAAGATTTGATGAGAGTTGTTTTTTTGGGAAAAAAATGATTCAATTGTGGGAAATATTCTGTGGTTATCAAAGGATTCTGTTCTGTCTGCGCTTGATAGATACGAAAAAGTAGTGATAATTTCTTTGTAATTCGAAAATGATTGATGGTAGAATAATTAATGTTTTTTTTCTTGTAATTTTGGTGATTTAATTGCGGAATGGTTTTTGCTCATGGAAATGGTTGGGAAAAATCATTTACTTTTTGTTTCAAGAGATTGAAAAAGCATGAAAGAAAAATTTCTGATAAATAATTGAGACCAACTGATGATATTTTTTCACGATAATAATTTGTTTTCATTGAAATTAGAGATTCAATCAGGATGTTGATGATTTTTTTCATTTTGATGATTAAGTTGTGGAGATTCTTTCTTTATAAAAATGATTGGACAAAAATTCTTGTTATCATTTTGAGAATTTAAAAAATCATGAGTCGAGTCTTTCCAAGTTCAAGAATTAAAAAATGATGACTTTTTCCAAATGAAACTGAAACCAGGGGAATATCCGCAAGCAGAAGATTCGTTTTATTTTTATTTTTAAGGAAATGTTTAAGATTCTTCGCTAGCGAATCTTTCTTTAGTTTCAGCTACATTTTTTTGAAAATCAGAATTGCTGTTTTTACACAATTTGGAGATTTGATAATGAGAGTGTTAAAATGCCTATTGAGAATTCTTAGTGATTTCAATGCTTCATGAGAACAAATTGTGCCCACAAGCGGAAGCTTTTCGAAATGTTTTCCTTCATTGCGATTTCGGAAAATAGTACATTACGTCATTAGGCGATAAAAGTATTATTTGACGAATGTGACTTATAATCACATGAGTCAGGTAATATTTTTATCGCCGTGTGACATACAATATTTTATGTCGTTCGGCCTGAAAACCGCGATCTGACCGAGCGAACCGAAAATAATTATAATTTTCCGGATTTCAAAAAGGGGAGAAAATTCTTCCTGTTTTTTTCTGTTACCTATTGTAAAAGTGAGAGTAATTATTTTCGGAGTAGAAATATTATTTCTATAGCATGGACAAATTATTCTAACTGCTACCGTCAGCTACACAAACTATAATTTCTTGGGCAATTTTGCGGTCTCCATTTACAAAATTTAGAACCGAGAGGATGTGAACGAGAACTTTACGTACATCTCCATTTCCTTTGGCATTTTACTCTTTCCCTGCAGTTTTGAAAATGTAAAGAGAATTCTTGATATCATTCTCACTATATGTATTTCCACGCATGAAAAAATGTAATAAAACGACCTTGCGCTTTCTCTATGAAATTGTATGGAATTTCTGTTAAAATTCTATTGAAGAATTCTATTGGTTTTTGCGCCAATCCTATTAAAAAGTATGCAACAACCCCATGCGTTTTTAAACAGATATTTTTCCTTATAGAAAAAGTTCATAGATGTTGATTTTTGTATAGAATTCATTCTGTTGGAATTTTCTATAAAAATTCTTAAGCATGAATTTTATGTTTCTTTTCTTGTATTTTAATTATTATGAAATACAAATAAAAAACAGCATAAAAACATACAAAATTGACGCCCAAGAATTTTTTTTTTTTAATTAAAATCTATTGACTTTTGTCTATCAAATATCTCTTCACAAAATGACGATAAAGTTGCACAATCTACAGAAATGGCGCAAAAAACAAACAGAATTTTTAAATAAAATTCTAATAGGACTTCAAGAGAATTCTTATAGAGTTCCTGTTGAATAGAAATTCAACAGAATCTCTTAGAGAAAGCGTTAAGTTTTTCTATTAAATTTCTTCATCCGCGTCTTTAAATTTTGCGAATGAGGATCGCAAGATACGCAAGGAAGGCCGAATTGTGTTACACGGAGGGCAAATTCTAGCAAAAATTAGTGTGTTATTCTCCAACCCATTGGGGCCAAATAGTTACCAAGAAATTCCCACATGGCATCCTCATTTTTGAAGGTCTTACGCTATTTTTTCCCGGAATTTCCTCAAAAGAATTGGGGTCTCACATCCGATTTTTTTGGTGACCCCTATTTCGGCGCACCGCTAGTGAGTAACACACTAATTCTTGAAGGGACTCACACGGTATTATTACACAGAAAAAATTTCTAGAAAAATTCGTGTTCTAGCACCATAAACGAGTCACAATTTCCACACTTGGAAAAATTATTGTGTAACACCAGGAAAATTGTCATGCTACACTAGAAAAAATATTGGGGGCACTATAATTTTTCTGATACCGCACGAGAATAATTTCTATAATACATGTGGAAAACATGTGTTATAAAAATTATTGTTCGCTTGGCCCACAAAGAACCGCCTTTTTCTCACCAGTATCATACAGTATCCTACGATACACACAAAAAAAAATCTAGTTCCTAGAATGACCGTCATTTTTCCTCGATAACGGTCATAAATCAGGTAATTACAGGTCATAACGGTGGTCATTGACCTAGTCATTTTTGTCAGTCACATCTCTACCTGTGGCCCTCATCGTCGCCAATAACTACTTTTTTTCACTTGTATCGTAATATACTATTTTGATACCACCGAGACGGAATTTTCACGAGTGGTAAGAGGGCAAGCCGAGGGCTTAACCACTCGAGCTCGAAATTCCCGTCTCATATGTGTCGAACTATATTTTTCATCACACTGTGCGAAAAAGTAACTTCCCTTCCCTTTTCCACACATTGTGATGAAAAATATCGTTTGATACTCATGAGAAAAGTGTTTTTGGGTCGTGGGATTATATCACTCGCCGTCGGCTCGTGCTATAAACCTCCCACGAGCCAAAAAACTCTTTTCCGCACTCGTACCGAAATATACTATTTTGTCACTGCTGCTACGTTCAGCCCGTGTCGACAAGTGCCTTTTCGTTTACTAGTAAACGAAAAGTCGAATCTTGCAAACGAAAAGACTTTTCGTTTACTAGTAAACGAAAAATGGCACAGTTCGGCACTCGCAGAATGTAACATCATTAACAAAAAATATAGTTCGGATACACGTGCGACGGGGTGTTATAACTCGTCGCACTTGTATCGAAATATACTATTTCATCATGCTGTGCGCAAAAGTAACTTTTTAGGCACACGAAGCATCCCTAAAAAATGTCCCTTTTCCACACATTGTGATGAAAAATATCGTTCGATACTCATGAGAAAAGTGTTTTTGGGTCGTGGGATTATATCACTTGCTTTCGGTTCGTGCTATAAACCTCTCACGAGTCGAAAAACACTACCCCACTCGTATATACTATTTTTTTACTGTAGAAATATACTATTTCATCACGCTGTGACGAAAAGTGAACTTTTCGGCACGCTCCGCGTGCCTAAAAGTCCAATTTCCGCCACATTGTGATGAAAAATATTGTTCGTAACTCGTGAAAAAATGTTTTTTAGCTCGTGGGATTATATCACGAGCCTTCGGCCAAACCTCCCACTCGCCAAAAAACACTTTTTTGCACTCGTTACGAAATATACTATTTTGACAGTGATGTTACGTTCAGCGAATGGCCGAACTGCGCCTTTTTTCATTTACTCGTACACGAAAAGTAAACGAAGCTCGTAAACGAAAACGAAACTCGTTTACTCGTGAACGAAAAGTGAACGAAAAGGCACTTTTCGGCACGAGGTGAACGTAGCAGTGTGAAAATAGTATGTTTCGTCATTAGGCCGAAAAAAACTTTTCTGGCGAATATGACTTTGCCATCATATGAGCTAGAAGGGTTTTTTTTAGGCTGTAGGTATGTCGAATAATATTTGTTGTCATAATGGCTGTAAGTAGCGATTTACGAGCGCGTATAGCGCTCGTAAAATGTTGCCTTTACGGCCGGAATAACGAAAAATATTGTTCGACACATGTGCGATGGAAATTTCCAGCTCGCGTGATTACGTGTGATTTCGTCAACTTCACACTCTTAAAAATCCCGTCTCACTCGTATCGAAATATACTATTTCCAAGTGTGCGGATTGCGACTCGTTTATGGCGCTCAGCACATGAATTGTTCTAGAAATTTTTCCGCCGTTTATGTATTTTCCATCAGTTTATTTCCATAAACTGAGATTTTTTTATGCATTGCGATTAATAATTTTTCGAGGATCATTTTCAAAATCTATGTCTGTGATAAGTTAGTGAATATAGAGAAAAGAATTCAAATTCTTGGGTTTTATATTTGAGTTGAATCGATGGTACCTAAAAGTTTTCTAAAAATGTCAAAATTATCTGCCGAGCATTTGAATAGTTCAGATAAAAATCGATGTGTGTAGGCATTTGAGGAATTTCTACCTCTTTAAATTGCCAATATTTCCATATCAGGATATGAAACGGCATAACTCCACAAGTTATTTGCATACTATTTTGCAAATATCTCCGGAATGAGGAGGTTCATCAAAATTCATTAAGAGAGCAGTTCTGTTGGGCGTTTCAAGGCCTTAAATAGGCATTTCAAAATGATAATCAGCACAGAAATTTCCCAATATTCGCCCGCTCTTTATCAATTTATCCAGAAATAATTTATGCGAAACTAGTGTTTCCTTTCACTCCATCGGTATTTTCATTTTCAGGGTAAATGGTTGATTGAAGTGTGATGCAGGGCGTTATGCCGGTGAAAACAAAATCGAGAGTTACTGAAAATATGGGAGTATCTACTGGTCTTGTTGATGACCGTGCTAAGCAGGTGCTGAGAGAGGCTGTTGATGCTGTTGTCAACAGTTTTGCGAAGCATACTCAAGGATATGGCCGAGGTAAGTCTTCAGGACCACTCATTCAGTAGCGAAGTGGTAAAACGGTACAAGTCAATTTTGGCTATTGTCCAGTTTTCAATGAATATCTCGGAATCTAAGGGAGATAGCAAAATTTTTGTTATAACATTTTTTGTAGAGCCATTGAGAGCTACAAGAAATGTAATTAAGAAAATTTCGCTTAACGTCCCTTAACGTCCGAAATATTCCTCAAAAACTCAACTGGGAGATAATTCGACTTAAAGTAGCTCTACCCTTACGGTAAATTCGAAGATTATTGAAAACTGCAAAAAAATTGCAGAAAACTCGATTAGATTCGGAATTCTAATTTTTTTCTCAATTTAATTACCGTTTTGGTTTTTCAAAGAAGAAATGTTTAAAAATCAGGTTTTAACCCAGTGTCTTATGTGAAAATCAACATTTCAATTGTACTCGAGATTAAAATCTGAATTTTTTTTCATTAGATATGAAAAGATCAAGATTTTTTTGACATCTCATAAAAAATAATCGACCGTTTTGCAAACAAGTTTTATTATTTATTTGTAAGGGGGAAATGTTTAAAAAAATATCAATATTTTGCGAAATTTAATTTAGCAGTATTATCTAACTGGGTATGAATTTTTTCAAATTTTTTCCATGCAATTTAGTTGAAAAATTTGAAAACTGAAAATATCCAACAGTACAGCGTACACGGAGAAAAATATTCAATAAAAATTGGGCATCTAAAATCGATGTTGCTGTTATAGAATCTAACGAGTTAATTTTTCATTACAATATGTTTTTGGAAGATATCTCGGCTCGCATGGAGATGGCCAATTTTTTTATAAGTCTAGTTTTTCTGGCGGTCAATAAAAGCCGAAAAGGGGTTCTATGTAAAAAATTCTCAACTCTAATACATTTATAGATGTCCAAGTACTTTGGCTATTTTCAGCGTATGAAAAAATTTAATAGAAAAACCTAGCGAATTCGCTGAACAATTCGATTGCGTTTCTATTGAACTTTCTGTGAATTTTTGGCTGATTCTATTGAAATGTTCAGTAGAAAATTTTCTATAGAATAAGTCAACAGAATTATATTTTTTGATACAATTTATTCTATTGAGAGTTAAGCAGCGAAGCGGTAAACCGGGTTAAGTCAATTTTGACTATTGGCCAGTTTTTGACGAATTTCTCGAAATCTAAGAGATATAAAAATTGTTATCATGACCTTTTTTGTAGAGCCACTTGAAGGTTATAAAAAGGTCATTAGAAAAATTTTGCTATCTCTCTTAGATTCCGAGATATTCATCAAAAACTGGTCAAAAGTCAAAATCGACTCAACTTGATTCACCGCTTCGCTACTGAGTTTTTCTACCCAAATTTCTCGACGTAAATGTTGTAAGTTTGATTAGTCTACTTTTTTCTCCTTACATTAGAAAAATCAAACAAAAAAACTCGGAATATTTAGGCCAAGAAATTTTCGTAAACAATATCTCAATAGAATAGGTTTTGTATGGAAAAATCGAATTGATTTTCTCTGTAAAAGATATTTTTTGATAAAGTTTCCAATTGAAGGCCTGTAGAAATCCAATAGAATTTTGTAGCGAATGCGCTCGCTTTTCTATAAAATTTTCTCATGCATTTTTGTACGGAATTATGTGGAATACAAAAAATCTGTCAGAGGAGTTTCCTCTCAATGGAATAGTTCCACAGATATTTATCAAATAATGGACTCAAACTTATCTTCCTCTTTTTTATTTCACCACAATGGAAAATTTCCACAAAAATTTCCATCAGATTTTGATCTCCTTTCCAACTTTAATTTCTGTTCTTTCTTCAACATACTTTTTTCAATCCCCAGATTAATTGCTGTACTCAATTTAACCCTGTCATTGGCTCTAAATAAATAAATAAATGAATAAATAAATAAATAAATGAATAAATAAATAAATTAATAAATAAATAAACTAACATTTATGTTCATTTGTCCAGTGAATGTTGTAGAAGCTCTCCAAGAATTTTGGCAAATGAAGCAGAGCAGAGGCACAGAATTACGAAATGGAGCTCTTGTTATTTACGAATCTGTACCAGGTGCGAGTCCTCCCTACGTCTGCTACGTGACCCTCCCTGGGGGCTCGTGCTTTGGAAGCTTTCAGAATTGTCCGACAAAGGCAGAGGCCAGGAGATCAGCAGCCAAGATCGCTCTGATGAATTCAGTGTTCAATGAACATCCTTCTAGGAAGATCACGGATGATTTTATCGAGAAGGCAGTGGCTGAGGCCAGAGCTAGTTTCAATAAACCTGCATCGAGTTCTAATGGAGTTAACGGACAAGCACAGGTGATTATTTATGTTAGTTTTTAGATCTTTACTATGAGGATATTTCGAGGAAAATATTATTATTATTATTATAGTTGTTATTATTGTATTATAATATTATTTATATTATTATCATTATCATCAATAAATGTGGACGTCCGCATAAAAAGGGACCACTTTGTCGATTCTAGTTTCCGAGATATTCATGTTTTTCTCTTGCCAACTCCCATTTAAACCCATGTTAAATTATTTTTTCGATCTTCTTTAGCGTCGTCACTCTTTACGCTATCAAGTTCATTCTGGGCTCTAAATGTTCAGAATCAGATCAAGATTATGGGAATATACATAACTCCAATAGTGCCAAAGTGGTCCCTTTTCATGCGGACGTCCACAAATATTAAATAATATTAAATATTAATATTAATAATATTAATTTATTATTATATTCATCATTTTGTAAATGTCCAAAAGGATTAATTCCAGTAATATTTGTAAGATCGTTAATAGAGTTAATGGAAAATAGATATTTTGGACATTCAACGATTCTTTCATCTTAAAAAACAATCATAGGGCAACCTAGCAGATTCGCTAGTTTTATTGACTTGCTATTGAGGACTTCATTCTTCTGTCGCTAAGTCTATTAAAAAATTCTGGGGCTTTTTGGGCGTTTTTTCCCAAGAAATATTCACCAGAATATATTGCATAGAGAAAATCAATAAGATTCGATTTTTCTACAGAATTTATTCGATTCACACTTCCTCAGCTTTAATTTCTGAATTTTTCTTATTTGACTAGTTTAATGAGAGGAGAATTCTGTAGCGAAGTGGTAAACTAGGGTAAGTGCAAACTGGAACTTTTTCAGGAGAATTAAAAAATATGAGCACGTTTGAGAGAACTTTCGATTCAAGCAATAGAAAAGTTTTCAAAAAATTAGCACTTATCCTAGTTTGCCACTTCACTACAAAATTAAGATCGAGTCAAAAACAATTTAGAAAACTTATGTCGATAGAAATTTAGAGTTTCTAGTGAACATTTTTTCTGTTTTTTCGTGAGGTCTTACGTGTAGCTAGGAAAAGAGTCTCCAAGATTGACTCTACAGAATTGTCTTTCGATAATTCTCTCTAAACCACATCCTTTCAGAGATATTCGCAGAGTAGTCTACAAATCCGGTTCGGAATTCATCTCCTTTTACCAATACAACTGAATAATTTTTGTATTGATCTCGAGGTCGGGTGATTTCGCGACAAAAAGTCAAGAGACTTTTTTTGTAGTTGAGAAAATCCTTATTGAAAATTGTCTCATAATGTATGAAACACATCAAAATAGGATCTTAGCGTTTTTACTAGAAAATTGAATTGAATTTTATTATATGTGGACGTCTACATGAAAAGGGACCACTTTGTCGATTCTAGTTTTCGAGATATTCACGTTTTTGTGCCAGCAACTGCCATTTGCACCATTGTTAAATTGTTTTTTCCATCTTCTCCAACGACGTTATTTTTGACCCCATCGAGATCATTTTGGGCTCAAAATGTGCGGAATATTATCAATACTATCAGAGTATTCATAACACCCTATCGACAAAGTGGTCCCTTCTCATGCAGACGTCCACATATTATTATATTATTTTGATGAAATGATGAAAAATTGCAATTTTTGAAAATTACGACCATTTTCTGTAAATAATTTAGTAACAATCAATCGAAAAAAATGACGATTACACAGTTTCCATTCGGAAACAATAATTCTGCGCAAAATATAATTTGAATGATGCAGAATTTTCATGAGATTTTTGAAATTTTTCTCATGACTTTTTTTATCGGGTCAATTGAGGGTTCTGAAACGTTGGAGTTTCAAGCGGATAACAGTGACTGAAAATCCTTTCTTAATCAATGTTTTTTTTCTCTCTTCAATTTAATTTTCATGAAAACCGAGAGAGTGAAGTTGGCGTACGTATGAAAGCTTTATTATGAGCCCCTTGAATAAACTTATTAACTTGATTTGAATAGACTTTATTTGATTTAAGAAACCTCTAGGTTTACATTTTCATTCGTTCTCAGATTCCAAACTGTTCTTTCACGTTAGAGTAATGTTTGCAATAGTCTACCCACGTGAATAAAGGAAGAATGTGAAGAAGGCACTGTCTATTCTTGGTGTACTTTGAAACATTAGAGTTTTAAGCGGATAACAACGAATGACCTTTTTTGTCGGGTCAATTGAGGGTTCAGGTATGAAAAAATCGGATAGAAATTTTCTATATGGATTGCGTATAGAAATTCTATAGGATTTCCGTATATGATATTCGGGTATTTCTATACGAATATTTTCTATACGAATTATTTCTATACATAAATTTTCGTTTTCATGCGAAAGATGTCTAAACGTCCCAGAAAAAACGTAGAGAAATGTCGCAACTCCATACGAAATGTTTCTATACATATGGCATAGTGGGTCGTATAGGACCAAACCTATAGAAATAATATAGAAATAATTTGCATAAAAAATATCCGTATAGAAATATCCGAATGTCATACGAAAATCCTATAGAAATTCGATACGCAATCCGTATAGAAAAGTTCTGTACGATTTTTTCATACATGTTATAAAAAAAGTCCTGACAAAATTTTTCTATCTCTTTTAGAACTGATCAATAGTCAAAATCGACTTAAGACCTGGGTGGATTATCTTTCGAACGTGACCTTGATTGTTTTCTTTATTTTGATAATTTGAAATGATCTCCAATTGCCATTCAATTTTACATAGCCCTGGAGTCTCCAAAAATTATGATTGTACAATCAAAAAAACGTTGAAAAAAAGCTGAACATTTTCAAAGAGCGTTTTTGAATAATATTGGGAAATTAAGCCAATAGGGAGGAAATTGCAAACTAATAATTTGATGTATCTAATGGTTGTTAGGTCGTCATTTATCACAGTAGTCAATGGCTGTCAGATCGTTAGTTACCATGATAAATTATGCATAACTACTAAATAAATAAAAAAAGAAAAAGTAGATAAAGAAAAAAAAAAGATTTAAAAAAATAGATAAAAACTAGAAAAAAGATAGATAAAAGTAGATAAATTATACTAACCATTACGGTTAGCTACCATGATTAATTATGGATAATTAATTATCCATTCACTACTTTCTCTCTATCGGACTTATTTCTTAATCTTCATTAAAAATGCTCTTTGAAAATGTTCAGTTTTTTTTCAACTTTTCTTGATTGTACAAGAATAATTTTTAGGGACTTCTGCGTGATGTAAAATCCAATAGAAATTGTGATATATTTTAAATTATGAAGATGGAAAAACAATCGAGATAACGTTCGAAATATAATTCACCCGGGCCTTAACCGGGTTTACCGCTTCGCTACTGAAATTACAATATGCGAAAAATTACCACCACATGACGGTCATTTTTTTTCTGACCTGACGGATTTTATAGTAATCACTAATAATCACTATTTTTTTTCTTTTCAGGGAAGTGGGGACGAAAAAGAAGACCCAAACACAGGAATCGGTGCATTCCGCTTCATGCTGGAGTGCAACAGAGGCAGAACGATGCTTGAATTCCAGGAGTTGATGACTGTTTTTCAGCTGCTCCACTGGAATGGCTCGCTGAAGGCTATGAGGGAGAGGCAGTGCAGCAGACAAGAAGTCGTTGCTCATTACAGTCATCGAGCACTGGACGACGATATGCGCAGTCAAATGGCACTCGACTGGGTGGCTAGGGAGCACGAGGGTGGTGGAGGTGTTGTTGCCATGGAGTTGGGACTCGCTGAGCGAGAGCTGGAGACTGCTCGACTCGCTGGCCGCGAGTTGAGATTTCCCAAGGAGAAAAAGGACATTCTTATGCTTGCTCATGCCCAAGTCTGTCCGCAGTAATTTCATTCCTTTATTTGACAGCGAAGTGATAAAACTATTCGTAAATCCATTAGAAATATTGGGGGAGCAGTTCACGCACGAAAAAATTTAATAGAAAAACGTAGCGAATTCGCTGGAAAATTCTATTGGATTTCTGTTGAACTTTCTATCAGTTTTTGGCCGAGTCTATTGAAATGTTCAACAGAAAATATTTAACAGAAAAAGTCAACAGAATTCGATTTTTCTATACAACTTATTCTCTTGAGATATTTTCCGCAGAAATTTCTCGGCTCAAATTTTCCATTTTTTGAGCCGTGAGTTTTCCATGAGTTATGAAATCTCTCATGAAAAAATTATCCTTCACTAATTTAAAACTGACTTCTTCTCTTCGAAGTTACTCGTAAAATAGATCAGAAAGTCATCTTTTGACTGATCTCCTTTTGTCATCACTTCGCAACTTGATAAAAATCGTTCTATTCATTTGTCAAGACTTCAATGGCTTGCTCATTCTTTCGTCCGGGCTGATTTTGTATCTCATTGTTTTAAAGTTCGTCTAAAGCATTTGAAGCGTGTTTTTGATAATTGAAATGTTCTTCATCAATACGTGATTTGAGAACTGTGACTTTTGAGAATTTTGTAATTTAACAATATGTTTTTTTTCTTTTGTGAGAGAAGGGAAAAATTGGAGGCGAGTGAAGATTCTGAATCGATAATTGTATATAACACCAGGCATAGCTTCTGGGGCTGCAAATATCCCGGGTCTTCCACTAAATTAACTGTACTTTTATATTGGGCATTGGCAGCATAAATTATCTGCGAAGTTGGTGAACGTGTGCCTAACTTGTCCAAGTGATATTTTCAGCAACATTTTTATATTATTTTTTATAATCTTTCTCAACATCGGCCATGATCTGTTCGAGGAGATTCTAGTAATTAGATAATTATTATAAATGAAAAAATTAGGGCAAAGCCGATATTATCAATAAATTCTATCTCTTTTGTATTTGTTTTTTCAACGTAAATATGGCAATAATTTCAATTGAATCAATTGAATTAGAATCTCCTTGAGGGAAAAGTTCGAGGAAATTTAAAAGTCCTTGGATTTAGTGACCATGAATCTGAGAGTTCTTGGCCCTCGTTGGAGGCCTTGAAAAAGTGGAAAAGAAACAAACTCCGGAGTTTCGACATCTACGACTGATGGAAAAGGGCCAAAACTCGAAAAATCGTTCAAATGCCTAAATTTCTGATCAGTTGGATTGAAAATTAATTCGAACATAGTTCATGTCTACGAAATTATACTGAATTTCTCTTGGAACTCTATGAAAATTCTTTTTGAGTTCTGTTCAAATTATTTGGACTAATTATACTAGTTTTGCACTAATTCTATTGAAAATAAAGTAATTTTGAAGAATAATTTTTTGAGATATTTGATCGAAAAAAGTCAGTAAGTTGGAATTTTTCAGTAAAAACATGCAGGGTATAATTTTTTTCCGTCGTTGTAGAAATGCGCAACCAGCGAAATGTGGTTGTAGAAAATTTTACGGAACTGTCACGGAATTTTTCCAGAGCGTTCCGCTTTTTATCTGAATCTCCTGTGAAACATTACGATACCGTCACTTAAATTTTCTGAGTCGAAACCGTAATCGGTGAGCGAATTGTGAGTTCCGTAATTTTCCGGAGAAAGCGTTAGGTCTTTCATCAAAATTTTTTTATATGTGAACAATTTTCACAATTTTGGTCTGTTTCGAACTCTTACGTGATTTAAAAACCTCGACAATTGGGTCATTTTTCCATTTTTAAGGGCTTTAACAAATATCAAGAAATTAAGCATTATTGCGATAAAATCCAAAGACTTTTAAGTTCCACCGCAGTTTTCCCTTAAACAATAATCCTATAGTGAAGTGGTGGAATGTAATGAATCAAATTAAATTTTTTTCGATTGATAATTCTGTGTTTATGCCGAGAGTGAGTGAATTTCGGAGATAATGTCATTAGACTTTTTTTCGTATAACCACTCGTTATCTAGATAATTGTATGTTCATCCGGATGGGAAAAATCTACTTGTTCTGTGTTATTACATTCCGCCCCTTCACCCCCGAATTTCTCTATTATTTTCTAGTGATTAAGAAACCTAGACGTTAGCAAAAATCGCGATATGAAATATTGTAAATGAAGCTTTCAACTACAATCAAAATATCGGCAGGTGGTCAAGCGATAAGTAGATTGAGGACGCGATTTATTTCAGATTTCTTTTAGATTTCTTTGCAATATTTTTGAAAAGAAATGGTACAGAATTTTCTTCCGAAATATTTTTTTTTATCAAAATTTTGTTAGCTACAAAAAGTCTCCCGGTGCTTTCAATAAACTCATTGAGTTTGAGGTATTTAAGGATGTTCTACACCCTTTCTGCCAAAATTCACGTTTTTTTAATTTTTCTGGCAAACTTATGATGGAATTGACGTGAAAAAATATAACGTTTTTGCGTTTTGTCATTATTTAATGACTGACGAAATTTTAAGGTGGTGCGAACATTTTCCTGCGTTTTCTCTAAACTTTTAAAAAGAATCACAAAACTGTAGAAAAAACGCATGAAAATTATCGCACCACTACGCAACTTTGTGAGCCATTAAAGAATGACAAACCACAAAATTGTTATATTTTTTCACGTCACTCCCATCGATAATTTGCCAGAAAAATCAAAACAACGTCAATTTTGGCTAAAAGGGTGTCGAACATCCTTAAAAAGACAGAATCTATTCAAGGCGAAATTTTTCATTAAGGATATGCAAGTACTTTGGCTATTTTTTCTCCAGTGAAATCGTTTGTTACTTTTGTAGTCGATCATCAGAGCTTTCATTTGGACCCCATTTGACCCTAAGTTTCCGAACATTTTACAATGATTTTATTATTTAAACTTTACAGGTCTGAATTTGATTCTGGATATTGAACCGTTAAAAACATTTTAAAAATTTGAAAAAAAAATTAGATTGTTTGCTTTTGGTAGAAGATAGATGAAATAATTAAAAAATTGCAATTTTCGAAAATTACGAGCATTCTATATAAATAATTTATAAACAATAAATTTTCCACCATAGAAATCATTTTTCCGGAATCGTACCGAATTTACTCATTTTACGAATTTTATCAGAAATCGATTTCATCCCTAAAAAAATGAGGTTTCCAAAAGTTTCAACAATTATAATTATTTATTTGTGAACAACGTATTTATTTCATGATTTTAAAATAATATTTTTCTCATGCAATTTCATTGACAAATTTGATGATTGAAAATTGTTGAATCTATAGTGTTGTCTGTACCAAACTCTAAAAGATACTTGGATATCCTTAAATGGGAACCTTTGTCAATTCTCCAGTTGTCTCGCAGGCAAATGGTTTTAGGCCAAATTTCTCAATTGCTTTTTTTGATAATTGAAATTATTTTGACTGAAAAATGTTTTCGGACATTCCGTGCTACAATCATTCGCTAATAGGATTCGTCAACTTTTAACTCCTCACGTATGTGATCGATACATGGTATCGACCCATGGAAATGTGAATGACTCTTAAAATTGCCTACTTTCAAAACTATGAAAACTAACTCAACCAGAGAAATAAGATCAAAAAAAGGAATACTGTAGCTTAAATTACATATCGGTTTCATAATTTTCGTGAACGCATCAATACAACTAGAATTCATCTAATTCTAGTTGGATTGAGTGTACACCACGCTTGGAAACAAAAAGGCTCCATCCGTGAGGGGTTAAAATATGTAAAAAATCGACTTATTTCGAATTTGCTCCTCTCGCGATGGCTATGTGATAAATGTCTAGTGTAATATCATTCTTCCAGTTAACGTATTATTCTACTGCCAAACGTAATCGTACGTGATAAATACTATGTATATTAGTTTTCGATGGAGCAATTGATGATTGAATTGATTCCCATAACAGAAGGATATGGGAAAGAAAAGTGAAGACTTGTTCAGATGAAATAAGAGAATATCTGCTTAACTGTAATTCGAATGAGTTCGACTATGAAATAGAATATAGTGTATAACATTTTTTATGGTTAAATATTTTATTATTAAACATTAACAATTTACAACAATGTTTTTTCGCCATTTTATCTTTATTGAATTTTTAATATTCAAGATTTTACGCTGTCGTTCTTGTAGTGCCCTCTTCGTCTTTCTCTTGGAGTGGATGCTCCAGAATTTTATCGATTATTCCGAATTCTTTGGCGTCCACGGGGGACATAAATTTATCTCGTTCCATACTATTTTCTGTTGGAGAGAAAATTGACAAATTAGAACAATTCATGAAAGTAATTCGTGGAGAAAACGATTTTTCTTTTTGTTTCTTCGAAATTTTACAGGAATTATTTTGAAAAAATAGAGGAAGTTGAGGTCTAGATGAGTATGCCAAGAAACTTTTTTGTGTAGAACAGAAAATCCTCTACAAAAAAGGTTTCACGATCATTCTATTCATTACTAGGGGAATAATGTAGTGAGCTGAGTCAAATTGTTCATTCTTCACCAAGAATTCTCTAGCCGTTTTCCTTCATTAAAAAAAAAATCCAACTCCTCACCATTTCACGATCACTAATGCAAGGTCAATTAATTATTCAATTGAAAGGATGAAAATAAAAACGTTTCGGACATGCAAAGTGTCCTTCATCGGAGCATCTCTCAATTTAGTTATTTATTTATTTCATAATTTTTTGTTAATTTTTCATCATTACGCGGTTTATGTAAAGAAATGCAAGTGATTTTGAACGTAAGTATCAAGAGATTTTTTTTGAATCTGTGGAAAATTTGGCACTAGAACGGTCTCTTAACAGTGTTTCCTAAAATGATGCATTATCGAGATGATTTCATACTGAATTGTGAAATGGAGTGATAAAATGTGATGAATCTGATGAAATAATGTTACATTCTTAACTGTGAATTTCACTGAAAACGAATAATCCCAGGAGAGAATATCTTTTGTACCTCGAAAAAAAAAATTCTCCTGTCATTTCACCATAAAATGACTTAAAATCAAGATAATTCTGCAATCACCCGTCGAATGGAATAGTGAAATGTCATAAGCGGAATTCTGAATTTTCCTAATTATGTATTTATCCCAAAAACTGATGATTCTTGAAAAAAACATTAAAAAAATTTTTTCGTGACTGCCCAACTCATTTTTATTCGTAAATCGCTCATTCTCGGGATGATTTCAGGGATTTTAATTGATAATACACCGAAAATTAATTTTTTTTATTTAAAAAAATGAAGAAAACTGCAATCAATCATCAGAAATGTTTTAGAATGAATTGTTTACCTATCCTAAGTAGCTCGAGTCCAGTATGCTTGACATAAAGCTGATTAATCTGTTTCTTGAGCTTCAAAATCTCCTCGGCCTGGATCTGAATATCCGTAGCCTGTCCTTGCACCCCACCAGACGGCTGATGTATCATAATCCTAGCATTGGGCAATGAGTGACGCATTCCGGGGGCACCAGCAGCCAGGAGTAAACTCGCCATCGAGCACGCCTGACCAACACACCATGTTGCTACTGGTGGGAGTACGTACTGCATTGTATCATAAATTCCAAGTCCTGCTGTTACACTACCTCCAGGGGAATTTATGTACAAGTGAATTGGCTTTTTACTGCTTTCTGATTGTAGGAACAAAAGTTGAGCGACTACTAGGGATGATATATCGTCTGTTATCTGAATGGAGAAAAGGAAAAGACAGAAATTCATGAATCAAATTAAAATTATGAATTAATTTGTTCCTAAGAGGAGACTACTATGAGTTTTAAAAGTCGTGGGTTATTGGAGTGAGACTTTTCATACGTTGAAGATCGATTATATAGATCTGAAAACGAATAATTAGTGCAAAAAAAATTTTTCTTTATTGTTCGTTTGCCCGAAAATGCTTAAAATGCCAAAAACAGTCCAGGGCCTCCAGTTTTTGAGCTATGAAGGATTTTTTTTTTCAAAATTTTCGGAAAAATATGTGGAATAACAATTACGAGCAATTTTTTTTTATTTCGCCTTTTACATCGCTAAATTTGCTTTTTTGTATTTTTTTTACACCAATAGTGAATTTTTTTATATAAAAAAGAAAGAAATCAGCTGTGTAGGAATCGAATTCCAAAAAAACTGGCTCATGATTAGTGTTCCACACATTTTTCCGAAAATTTTGATAAAAAAATCTTTTGTCGCTCAAAAATTGGAGGCCCTGGACGGTTTTTAGCATTTTAAGCGTTTTCGGACAACCGAACAATAAAACAATTTTTTTTTGCACTAATTATTCGTTTTCAGATCTATATAATCGATCTTCAACGTATGAAAAGTCTCACTCCAATAACCCACGACTTTTAAAACTCATAGTAGTCTCCCCTTAAACGGGGATTCCGGGGAGTTGAAACATCATGAATTATTACCGTGATGATCTCCATATGATTTCCCTATATTCCGTGTATAAAAATGTATGAAAAACATAGGAACAATCTTAAGAAAAACATGTTTTCTAGGGATATACCTTAAGGGGTAACAGAAAGTCGCTGTTTCCCTGAAATTTTCAAACAAATTTCCTGCGCAAAGTTATTAATATTTTTGGCATCCAAAGCACATTGATCTTCATCATCGCCTCCTGGAGATTAATGTGCTTTGAGTTGTTAAAATATCGATAACTTTCGGCAGGAAATTTGTTCAAAAATTTGGAGAATTAAGGGCATTCTGTTACCCCTTAAGGGGAGACTATTATCAGCTTTAAAAGTCGCGGGCTATTGGAATGAAATTTCTCATACATTGAAGATCGATTATATACGTCTAAAAAGGAATAATTAGTGTAAAAACAATTGTTTATTGTTCGTTTGCACCGCAATTGCTTAAAATGTTCAAAATAGTCTAGAAACTCCAATTTTTGAGCTGCAGAGGTTTATTTTTTTTCAAAATTGAAAAAAAAATGTGCGCAATAACAATTACAAATTAGTTGTTTGAAATCCCACTCCTATACAGTTAATTTCAGTTTTGTACTTAAAAAATTGCACCATTGATGTAGAATAGCTCAAAAAATGTTTCTGAAAGAATCGAAAATATATTTTAAATATTTAAAGGATAATTTTTCTTCCTATTGTACGTGAATGGCGTAAATTTTTATATTAAACAAAACAAAATGAGCTGTGGAGGAGTCATATCCCAAAAAACTAATTCGTGATTGTTATTGTACACATTTTTTCAAAATTCTGAAAAGAAAAACCTCTGTAGCTCAGAAATTGGAGGTCCTGGACTATTTTAATTTAATTTAATATTCTAAGCGTCTGCGCGGCAAACGAATAATAAATAATTAATTTTTCGCATTAATTATTCGTTTTTAGACATATCATTAATCTTCAATGCATGAGAAATCTCACTCCAATAGCCCACGACTTTTAAAACTCATAGTAGTCTCCCCTTAAGGCACCTTATTTCTCTGTGAAGAGCATTGGAAGTGAATCTGTTTTGTCTATAAGTAATGTTCTACCCAGACACATACCTCATGATTTAAAACAAGTGGGAAATTGCCCCTGTATTGCGTATAGTATAGTTATTTCTGCTAATAAACTAGCAATGTGCGTCCGAATGGTCATTTTGCTTATTTTTTCCATTGTATATTATTCATAGCCTATTTTATTTTCTTGAATTGAACCAATTTCTTTCCAACTAATTGTTTTAGATTTTCCACTTAATGAAATTCTAAAAATTTCTGAAAATTTCTACGAAATATTATCAGGAATATTTCATTTATACATAATTGAATGCATTCGAAACATCACATTTAAAGGAACCATCAGAAAGCGAACTTTCCGGAGAATTCGTGAACAATTCGAAATTTCTAAAAATTGTCCTAAAAATCAAATTAACCGAAACAGTTATTATAACCATCCTCTAAATTTGATACAGTCGCATAGGGGCAAACATATTGGGCTATGATTGAATTCATTTCAAACGCAATATCCAGAGATACCTGCGGAATTCTAATTTTCGAAAAATACGAAATTTTGGAAAAATTTCACAGAAATCAAAATAACGATTATTGCTACCGCTTTCATCTTTCAACTCGGTCGAAAGGACATTCCAACGTTTTTTTTAAGCCGTCATTCAATGAATTTAGAATATTTTCTTTAGTTATCGTGTTACAACTGAATGTTGAAAAAATTCGAAAATTCAATAAATGAATCAATGAATTAAATTTTAATCAAGGGCGATGGACAGGGCTTAGCAATACCTACATTTGAGAAAAAAATGATTCAATTCCATCTATTCATTAGCGGGAAATGGAAAAAAAAGTTTGTTATATACACGTACATACGAATGTATGCACACCATCTAAAAAATGCATTTTCGGAATTTTGAGATCATAATGGGTCGATATAACACAAAAAACAGAAAACTTAAATTTGAAGGATTATAATGCTCCCATTCGGAAGCAAAAACGAAATGTTCACCACTCTTACTTTATTTTCTTCTTTATAAAGAAAATAAATAAAGGGATACGAAAAGAAAATAAAAGAGGGAAAAAATTAATGTTGGCATGAGTTTTTGAGGAAGAAATGTTGAGGAAAGAATGTGCGAGAGAGAAATGGTACGAGGAAAATTTGGGAGGGAGGGGGAGAATTCTTCATTTTCATGAGGAAATTCTATCAAAAAAATATGCTCTAAAAATGGAATCATCTTTCAATTTCCCCATTACTTCTAGGCCGAGTGATGTAAAGAAAAAACGTAAGAAGACCTTTTATGCATTTCACAAAATTCCTCACAAAAAAGGTCCTCTGAATCTTTCCCCTACTTCTTCAAAAAAATCATCAATGTTTTCATCAACTCGAATAACAAAACTCACTGGTCCCATTAAACAAATGATTCTCTCCTTCAAAAGTCTCGAATAAATGTCATAAGCCCTCTCCCCTCGGCCCGTCTGCTCCACGACGATGGGGACGAGATTCAAATTCCTTGCGATAACATGTCGATGTCCCTGGAAGATTCAATAGTGAGGTTAACCTCGATCCTCTCGTCCTCTCAAATCAGAATAAAAACTTCAACTCACAGCAGATCCCAGTAAACTGCGGACTCTCCTAATCAACATGTTGATCTCCCTAAATTAATTCTCCACTCAAATATAGTAAACCAACTTCTCCTTTCCTCTTCTTCTGACGATTGACAGTAGAAAACACCACGATGCAATCAACCCCGAAAGCTCTCAATAACAATCCACTTTATGGAGAAGAAAAAAAAATCTGAGAACTGGCTAAACATCAACATGAGTGACGTCTCACAACCCGTTTCGTAAATTAATCAATTGTTTTTTCACTCCATTCACATTCACTGAAAATTTCACTGAAAATTTCCCTGGAAATTTCACTCTTACTTTATTTTCATCAACTGTGCTGCCTCTGGTTCAGCTTGCGCTCCGGAATGAATACAGGCCCTCCACTAGAACCTTTTCCTTAGTTTTCAGGAGTGGGAGACACGGATACAAGTGGAAATAACGGAGGGAGGGGGCACCCACCGAAGGAGAAAAACTTATACTGGAAGAGCTATATGAATGTCACGTGGGCTTCGGTCTTTCGGTGGAATTCACTGTATTGTGGACTCCGGCTCTGCGTTTATTCGCAGGGTTTCGGAGTGTTCAGTGTTCTAAAAAATAAAGACGTTAGTTAAAAAATTGAAACTTCACCTGGTGAATTTTACATGATCATTTTGGTGAGAGTTTAAGTCATCGTCAAGTGATCGAAGACGAGTTTGTTGGAGTTTTGAACGCTCAGGATCGAAGAGGTTAGTTTTGAGAATCATTACATGAAATTTTTCGAATTTTACACAAGTAAGATTTGTTTGAGAACTGCTGTTTTCCCTCAGTGTAGGTCATTCCCAGAAAAAATCCTCACCTATGAAAAATGCAAAATTCATCTCATCGCATTCTACAACATTTGTACGAAAATTTTCTTTCTTTCCAGAAACAATAACGATGCAATCATTGATGAGAACCGTGCAGAGAGGAGCTGCGCTCTTCTTTCCGAAGCTGCCAGTCCTAGAAAACGTTCAGGCCTCTTCACTCAAGCCTCGGGGGTTTCACTCAATGAGTAAAACAATCGCTCCACAGACCACTTTTTTGACTAAAAACGTCGATAGCTACTTTTTAACTGGACTATTGCGACCCATTCAGCCCTTCATCAACCTCACCTGCGGAATGAAGTACAAAGTACGACTAAAACTTCGTTGCAAGGACTGCTTCTTCTTCTGGATGAACGGGCGACTGACTGTCCGGTGTCATACTCACCCCAGACACAAACAGGCAGCAATTATCAAGCCAGAAAGGAAAACCTGGATTTTAACTTCTGTATCGCAGACGAAGAAGAGACCGTGGTAATTTTTTTAAGGTTTATTTCACTGTATATAATATTGAATAAAATTCAAACGTTAGTTTATTGAGAATCACTAGTGCTGATCACTTCATTGTTCGATATCGGATAGAGTTTTTTTGTTGATTTTGCCTTTGTGAGGGATTTTCGAACGTTTTTGGGAAGAGGCAGGGCGTAGTGAATTATCGAGTCGGTGTTATCGTTCTTGAGACATGTGTCTTGCCAGGAAGTTTCGGGGGTGTCTGAGGAACTGGTCCAAACCTAGAGGAATTGAGTTTGTGTATTGACGTCTCGAGAAAATGATTCGATAACACGTACGGAAAAAGATGTTATTAGACAGTCAGACACGAAAAATTTCATAGAAAATCATAGTGAATTCGCTAGAAAACTCTATTAGTTTTGGAGCAATTCTTTCAAGTAATTCTGCAACTTTAATGTTTTTCTTTTATAGAAAATGTCCAATAGAGACTATTTTATAGAAAGAAATACTAGAATTTCATCTTTGTGCACAACCTTCCCTATTGAGATATTTTCTATAGGAATCCTTCCACATAAATTTTCTAATTTTTCCCCTCAATTTTTTGCTTTTGTCATTGAAAAAATCGAACGAAAAAACGTGAAAAGAAAACTAGCTCATAATTTTTCTGGGAAACACATGAAAAAATTCAATAGAAAACCTAGCAAATTCGCTAGAAAATTCTATTGGAATTCTATAGAAATTCTATGGGGGTTTCTATAGGATTTCTATTGAAAAATTTTATTTGTTTTTTGCGCCGATTCTATTAGATATTCGATAAGAAAAAGTCGAAAGATTTCGAATTTCTGTTGGAATTTTTCTCGTCAGATTTTTTCGATTTTTCGATTAGAAATTATTGGGCCCAAATTTCTCAAGGTTTTTCCGCTGGATTTCGTTTTATTTTGCATTGTAGAATCCGAGTGGAAAAAACTTAGAAAATACCCAAGCATTCTTGTAGAAAAAATCGCAAGAGAAAATTCCAAACAGAAATTCGAAATCTATTGACTTTTTCTTATTGAATGTCCAAGAGAATCCGCGCAAAAAACAAATAAAATTTTTGAATAGAATTTCAATAGAAATCTTATAGAAACCCCATAGAATTCCTATAGAATTCTAATAGAATTTTCTCGCGAATTCGCTAGGTTTTCTATTGAATTTTTTCATGCGTGAAGTTCATCTATGTTATTTAGTTTATAATTTTTGTGGGAAAGTTATGAAATGAGACGAGTTTAAAAATTCATTGAAATTATGTGGTGGTATTAGAGAGAACTATTACTTTCTTGCAGTATTCAGCCCACGAGACTAGCAAATTGTCCTCTCCATCGATTCGGAAAGTCTTGAATTTATCAAATTGTTTCATGGTTTTCTTGTATTGCCCTTGCACCATGTAGAAATAAGCCCTCAACAGAGTATATCTGAAAGTCAATTGAAATCAGACATTTACTCTTGTAAATCTTGTGATTGCATTTATTTTGTTCAATCTCTTACCTGAAAATACAGACTTTTATGAGTCTCTTGATCTTTCCGACTATTTTGAACTGTCGTTTTATCTCTAATAATGTATCTCTCGCTGCCTTGGAGTTTCTACTTTCCTTTTTATGCACTGAAGAGTAGAAATGTATTAAAGAATAAATGAAATTTTCTACCAATAGAATGGGGATTTTCAAATTTTAATACACGAATAAATTTCAAAATGCAGTTTCTCTCCCTTTTTTCATAATTAAGGAGGATTTTTGATACTTAGATGATAATAAAAATTTTGATACACGAATAAACTTCAAAATGTGGAGTGAAAGTAGGTGATCATATCCAAAGAGCTATTTGAAGAAAGTATGCGTAGGATTTTTTTAGTTTTAAATTTCCGGTCGCAAAAAATTCAAATCGCTAATTTTGAGCGTTTGAAGATACTTTTGACCTACAAAATTTGATTTCTGGCGAAAAAACAAGCAAACAATTTTTTCTCGAAACTTTCCTCGAATTTTTCAAAATTTTTGCTCAAAAAACGAAAAAGGTTTTTTCTCGAAATACTTCTCCCTTTAATTCGCTCAAAGTGTTTCATCACTTCACCTCTGAATTGAATTTTTGTGCGACAGTACAGAAATAATAATAAGGATAATAAGGAAGTAGGGTCATGGGAATTGTGGAGAAATCGATAAACTGCACTAGATTACTGTCAATAATTTAGTCCAGTTTATTGTTTTCTCCACATTTCCCATGATCCTACTTCCTTAATATTAACTATGGAGATGAATAATAATTCAGTAGCGAAGTGTTAAACGGTGCAAGTCAATTTTGACTATTGACCAGTTTTCAATAAATATCTCGGAATCTAAGGGAAATAGTAAAATTTTTGTTATAACCTTTTTTGTAGAGCCGATTGAGAGCTACAACAAATGTAATCCCGAAAATTTCGCTATCTCCCTTAGATTCGGAAATATTCCCCAAAAACTCAACTGGGAGATAAGTCGACGTAAACAGTTTTACCACTTCGCTACTGAATTTCATTAATAATGATGCGGCGTTCTTGAAGCATTAGAAAAGTCAGTACCGTAATAAATAATGAGCCCTTCCAGGTTTTTTAGCGCAGTTACGCCAGTCAGCACAGTCAATTCGTGAATCGAGTAATTAATGGTGACTCGTCTCTGTCTCCAGACAATAGCTCCTTCCCAATTTCCCATTCTCACACACCTACTCGTAAGTAATAATTGTGTGACTTGAGAAATGAAACGGTTTATATTCCGCTTACCAAAGCCACATGGACGTAAAGAACCTCTTCTTCGCCTCGGGATCATTCAAATGAATTTCAGGCTCTCCCTCCCTCTGATAGAATTGCTCACATTTCTTGAAAGGAGTTATGGTAATCCCACAGTCCAGTTGCAGATCAACACAGAAAGCGTAGTACCATAAACGACCGGATTGATCGACGATAGAATTGGATATTGCTTCTAAAGGAGCAAATTAGAATTTTGTAGTGGAGTAGTAGCAACTAACAGTCAAAAAAACGACTGTTTGACACAATTCAAGCAAATTTTTTTTTTATTATTTTTTTTTGTTAGCTGTTTTTCATTCCTGGAAGTACTGATGAGAATAATAATTTTCCATTTAGTAGAGTGGGAAATTATTGAGAAGTTTTGGTGGGCCAAGATTTTGTCAATAGATTATTCGATTGAAATTCAGCATTATATTTTCCTTTTTCTCTCTCTCGGTCTCCCCTTGAGCCTTGCTCTGGACTTTGGATTTCGCTGTTTCATTTTCTTTTCAATTAATTCATTGAAAAAATCTTCGCCCGTCTGAACTTCTCAATAATTTTTCATTCTACTGAATGGGAAATTATTATTTTCATCAGTACTCCCAAGAATAAAAAAAAGTTGCTAAAAAAATATTTATTAAAAAATTTATCTTTGCTTCGGTTGCGTCAAACAGTCGTTTTAGTGAGTGTTTCATTTTGCCCCATCCTCCTTTATGAAAATATTTGATGAAAATGCCTAGCGCTTTCTCCAAAAAATTCTGTTCCATTTATATTCAAATTAGGTTTTGTTTGTAGAACTTTTCAATTTTGCTGCGGTCTCACCTTAATAGAATTTCAGCAGAAGTTTAATAGCATTTCTTGAAGAAAGCACTTTTTCTACTTAATTTTTTCATACGTATGTGCTACAAACAAGTGCTTCTAGAAGAAAATGTTGAGAGACTCTTGTTTGTGGCTGTAGAATTTATTTCTGATTGCATCATTAATCTGTAATAGTTTAGTTTAGTTGAAATTTTCATACCCAACTCTTCCATCAATGCCACGATTTTCTCTATTTTCTTCTCAACCATCAGCGACTGAATTATCCTCGGAAAAATCATCAATTCTTGTCTAACGGATTTAACAGTCCTTGCCAATCTCATAGCAATATTCCCTAACTGAATAGCTTGCACTCTTTCTTCTCTCAACAATCGAGAGAAGGAAATGTTTGTGTACAATTCAATAATTGCTTTCAATTCTTGCAGCTCTAGAGCATCTACTCTCTGATTGCAGAATGATATTCCACTGTTTTCTAGCCAGGGAATCATACTTCTGCAATGAAAAAACC